ACATAGGAAAGTACACAAATACCTTCAGAATTTCTGTTTAACAATTCAATGTTACTGAAGTTAAATACACAACACACACACACAAACCCAAAAAAAGTACATGAAGTCACCTTAACTTGTACATATATGAGGTATCTTGCACTTAAGACATGAAAAAATGAACAGTTTAAAACAGAATTAAAAGAAACAACACAAAGAGGTAAATGGATACCATTTAACTTATTCATGTTTGGCTTCTTTTTTGTTAATTTAAAATGGTTTTCTTTATTTTACATGATATGGTTAAATGTTTGTGATTTCAGTTTATCAAACAAATTTATGTTTCAAACCCAATTGAGTTATTAAGTTTATTTATACTTACCTTTGGAGTTTCACAACCATATACTGCCCATTGTGATACCTTATGATATAACAAGACTAATGGTATTTTCAACCTAACCAACTCCTTATGCAACACATTGGAATAAATGGTCAGGTCAGCAATCTTAAGGTTCAGATACAGCCATCCCTAATTTAGTACTGCTGGCTACACAGAGAACAACCACTCAGCAGCATCCATCACCTAGACAACTACTCTTAGCCAGTTAATGGGACTGACTCTTGCTATTATAATACCCCCATAGCTGAAAGTGTACAGCATGCAGCAATGCCATTATGTTTCATGAGAAAAGGCTACTCTGCCTGTGATAGTTAGCTTGCAAATAGCAGCACCAAAAGCACGTGACACAAGAATGTGTCTTTTGAGGTTGTTTAAAGGGCATGCTCTCCCAGAAAATACTTTAATTCTGTTGTTAAAGTGGGCAGGAAAACTGACCAATGTAATAAACGATTTCTTCTTAAATCTAATGCCTATAACAGGCTTGGTTATGATTTTCTTGGGGAAAAACAGAAAAATTCATGGAATATGCATACACCTACATTCATTAAATAGTAAATGATAAAGAAACATGACAAACAGCTAATTTTATCAGCATCTAAAATACAAAGCTGAAATTTCCTGTGCTATCAAACACTGTAGCCTCAACTCAGATGGCCAGTTATGGTACAATAATTTTTCAATGTAATTTAGAGTTAGGCTTAATCAATAAATGTAAGTCAGTTTGATAACTATAAATGTAAAATTTATTATCATAAATCTGGAAACACCCCTAATTATTCAAATCACAAATATATAAATTCATCTTCAATATGATATTAAAATAATGTTAAGCTCACAAACATCTAACACTAGTTACTCAATACATTCCACTGCACTGTGAACACGCCTAACAGCCAGAGATTACTGTAGAGGAATGACATGAATTGGGGTCATAACAAGTCTGAGTTAACCCACACATTATAGCACACGACAGCTAATGAAATAATTATTAGGTTAAACACAATATGTAAATCATTTTTTAAACATTCATTTTTGAAGTGAAGCCCCATATTTTAAGACCTACAAGACTGGTTGAAGAATAATACACCATTATGCTGTTTTCTTCATATGCTCATATGAACAAGAGCTTTCAAAAAGGTACATCTTTGATGACAAATTGCAAACCACTGATCTCAGACAACAACTAGGAGATAGTAACAAATGGTTTAAAACACGTATTTGGCCAGTGGTTTTACAGATGTTCCCTTAAGAAGAAATTATTGTAAACATCTAGAATGCAAGTTTTTAAAAAGATAGGAATCAGTGTGCATTACATTAAAGATAAAATTTAATGGGAATAACAAAATTTAATGTTTTGGAGCAACACTGAATATATACCAATCATAGGCAAGACAGGTGGTAATTTATTGCAACCAAGCTGCCTTCCAAAGACATCACAGCATGTAATGGCATATTATATTTCAAACTTTGTATCTTCTGATATGTGGACTGGCTTGCTGACCACTAGGCCACAACTGGCTTAATGAGAATATTACCACAAAATGATAATCGTCTTCACATAACATATCACAATGTAATTTAAAACCTTTAAGACTGAAATTTTTCTTATTGTATTTCATTCCTTGTATTTTCCTTCTCTACACAACAAAAGTCATTTTTACATATATCCACACACTCACAATACAAGTTCACAGCAAGTTTTAAAATCAAACCATGTAACATAAAATTAAAACAGTATGAAAATATAAAGAAAATCAATATCCAGTTTTAAATATACGTGAAACCAACAAAAACATACATATCAGACTACTAGGCCACATACCTGGAGGAGGAACTTGAACACAACCTAATATATTTCCTATGAGAGTCTCTATCTGAACTGCCATGTTTTCTATGTACACACTGTAGATTATTCCCAGGCAATTCTGAAAAAATTATCAATATTTATAATTCAGCAATCTTATTCTATACCTGTGTTCTACAATATAATTCAGTAAATAGCAGACATGTTTCAAAAGTTTAATCAAACCATTAAAAACCTGAAAAACAAGCATCACGGAAACAAGTAAAGTACAGCTGATTTTTCAAAACCAAACAAGACAGAACTTTTACTACTTACTTGAAGAAGGATATTCATGGCCAAAATCTAATTTCTAAATCTATACCTATGCACACTTTAATAAACTCTTGTATGTGATGGCTTTATTCCTCTGAATGCAGGTGGTTAGCTTTGAATAATCATTCTTTGATATTTATTAAAAACAAATACCACATAGAAAGGTTGTATTATGTAACGAATATTTTATACTTAAAAGGAAAAAAATGGATTTGAACACACCTTGAAGGTAATAAAATAATCTAAGCTGGAGACAAGAACCAAACACTTTGGAGCATACATTATGGAATGATGTTGAACGCTTGAAGATTCTAAACTTTCTTCTTCGCCTTCTTCGTCTGGTGGCTTGCTGGGAGTTATGGCCACAGGTTCGTTGAAGGAGAGACATGCACAGTAATGACGGTTGGCATCGATGTCGGTTAAAACAGAAACAAAAAAGGTGGGTTGTTGGCGAGCAGTTGAGAGACTCCATCCTTGTGGCTGACAGAACTAAAGCAGATATATTAAATAATGACTTTTCTTAAATATTTAAATTACTCTTATACTTAAGAGAAATAAAGTATACAAGAAGAAACTAAAAATATCAAAATTAATTTTCAGCTGGCAAAAATAATCCTTTAAGTTACAGTCTTTTATAATGCAAATGAATAATTTATACAAGATTATCTGTACAATACCTTTCAAATTATACTATTTACCGAGAAATTTAATTTTAATCAAAAGCTAGACTGAAAGCTGCAAAGATGTGCTTTATACAGTAAAACATAATTAAATTTTTTACATTGCAGTGTTAATTGATAAATTGAATACAATACAAAATATAAACTGACCAACTTGTAAGAACAAAGCTGGTTTAATTTTTCTTGTTTAAACAATAAACAAATCCAATACATTAAAGTAAATTATTTCTGATAACTTTACAAAGTTCCCAAACAACTGTAAACTTGATTAAATCAATAAGATCAAAATAGTTAAAATAGGATAAAAATAACAAACAAATTCTAACATAATATTTAAAGTTCTATAGATGTCGATGGCAACATCATCAGTAATAACACATATACAGGTAAATCACTATAAATATAAGAAAATACCATGTGATGTAACAATGATATTGTAACAGAGGTCATCAAGGTGTCATTTAACAAAAGATTAGAACTGTTAAATCAATAGACCTTTTATTTTTCTAATATTCTCTCTTGATTTTCTACACACGACTTTAGTGTTACAAAAATCTGCAATGTTGACCTAACGTACTGATGTTCAAATACATGTGAAAAGGAACAAGTAAGTTCTTAACACAGCACTTGTTACTGGGTGAAATATGTCAATGTACCTTTTCTGGTCATTCTTCAGAAACAACTGCAAACTCTTTTGTTTTTGAACATACTAATAACATGCACATCCAAATATAAACTTCATTTTGAAAACAGAAACTAATAACCGTATGTAAACTTTATTGTGAAAACAGAAACTAGTAAACAAATATAAACTTCATTGCAAAAATATAAACTAATAACTAAAATCATTTCAAATGCTGTAAATACAAGCTTGTCTCCCAGCAGCAATTATCTTAATTGTAAACCTATTTATTGCTGTATTCCTGTTTTTCCATCAGTTCCAACACTTCTATCAAGAGGACTTGGGATAAGACTCCTAGCAAATTTTAAGATATTCCAAGCATTTAAGTTCATTATAGAACCATGACAAAATTATCCACATTGATTTCTAACAAATATTATATAACACTTACACTGGGATGTACTTACAGATTCCTCTCAGAATTGTCCATACTCTTAACATAAAGGAAACAGGTCTTGAATTAGGAGAACAGCAAAAGGTGCATGCTCATACTTCCTCAGACATGTTTCAAATATATTTTTCTAACATCAAAATCATTGGTAGGGAATCAAGAGAAGCTTGTAGATATATAAAAGAAGCTCAACTAGTTTTAGTGTTCAACTTTCTTATTAATCTACAATATGTTGCCCCCTCTAAATACATCACTCAACCATCACATGACTTTTACTTATGTTTATACACACTGAACAATTTATTGTTTCTGATGATGCTGGAGTTAATGTCAACAAACCGTACAGTAAACCCGCATTAAAAATGACACAAGCGTGCTGATGCACAATCTCCAAGAGACCAATGAAATAAAAGCCATGAGGCATAGGTGCATCTTCCTTCAGTATAGGTCACCATTAGTGCTATTCACACTAAATGAACTGGCATACATGGCTATTAATTAGCAGACAGATACCTTTTATACCACTCAGTTGTCAATCAGTAGGAAAAACTATGGAATTAAAATCAAATATGCAATGCAAATACATGTGTTGTGTTCTTATTGAAAATAAATTAAAGTTAAACATTTTTTTATCAAAACTAATTTTCACAAGTACTGTCTTAGTGGGAAAATTACATAAAAACATATACATTGTCATATATTTTGTAAAAAGTATAAAAAGTGTGCCAAAGTGACTTCTCAGTGTGAGGTCTTCATGCAAGTCCTATAATAAAAACTACAACTTATAATGATTAATTTTATCAATATTGTAAACTCTATCACTGCAATATTATACCTAGATATAAATAACATAGTACCCTTTGAATATACTTATGGAAACCTTATTACTTTTTTGATAATTAACTAATCTTTTACAATTATCTTACATTAATTCAATAAAAATTATACAAATATTTGTGTGAAATCATGAGAAGTTTACATTGAACAATAATTTAAAAATTAATATCTAAACATGTTAAAAAACAGAAAAAAAGTTACTAATTCTGACATAAACTACATACAGTATTTTTTATGGTGTTTACTGTAAAAATTTGATATATTAAGGATTCAGATAAAAAGATTAATAATATTTTCACAATATTAATAATGTCATTCAAATCTTCCGGATTTTATATTTAAAAACATTTTGAAAGTCAAAAATCTTTGGCAATTAAAATCTAAGTTACATTTCCCAGAATGCAAATATGCAACCGCTACTGCCTGAAAAGTTCTCAGTATTATACTTGCTGCACAAAGACTTAACATTCATTAATGCCAAGGGTTTATAGCAATTCCAATCAACAAGTTTGGACAAGCTTCTATAGTTTGTGACACTCTCTTAGTTTCTCTGAACTATTAACAAACAATGTTCACACAGTACGAATTACATCTAGATGGACATGATACTAAAATTATCCATAAAGACTGATCCATTCAAGGTACCTGTTAGACATTAGAATTTATGTCCCAATTACATGCACATGTAATTACATTTTATACATAGACAAGTGATGTTGACTGGTACTACCAGGTTTCAGTTACTTTATGGACAGCCTCCCTTTCTGTACATGAACACACACATGTTGATATAAATTTACAGTAATTATTTAAAGAAACAATATCATACAACAATTAAAACCAAGCAATTAACTCAATTAATCAATATAATCAATTACCTATGAACATTAATTAGTGTCACATTAAAATAATCAATTAATCAAAATTATGTTTAAATCAATTAATGTTATGAAAATAATCAACTAATCAAAATTATTGTTTCTAATTACTAGTGTTCTTGAATATTCCAACTATCCAAATCTCATGCAAGACTAAATGATTATAATGAATTAATAGCTGGAGAATCAAACAGCAAATTCCCCAAATAAGAGCTCTAGCAACAATGACTGCAATATGTTATTTTATTATGGATCCTGTAATTTATTGCCTTTTTGATGTAATTCATATGTATCCATGAATATTTCTATAATAGTATACTGTACCAGATGGTTACAAATGATACTCTTGAGTAAGTTAAAAAAAATACTATACTGAATTTTCTGAATTTTTTTTAATGTGTAGGAAAGAAAACAATGGCATGACAGCACAACAGTCAAATATGTCATTCATATTTACAGTGCAATAGGTAAGTTTTATTTTTACTAAAGTTAGAAATGGGCAATTAGTGGTATTTGCTAATTAATTAATTGATAGCCACATTAATCAATTTCACTTCATTAATGAATTAATACAATATTTCTTGAACTGTGATACGTATAAGCAAAAAAAATAAATGGTGGGGGGTGAGTGATGCCAGAAAGTTGCTTTTCCTTTAGTTTGCCTTTCAAGAAGAAAAAGAAAAAAGATGGGAGTGGGTGCTGCTAGACAGTTATCTTCTCTATAGTCAACAAGTGAGGAAGAAGAAAAAAAAATGTTGCCTAAGAAATTACAAAACTAAAAGTGGGCAGAGCTTTGTGTTCAACAAGAAGTAAACATAATAGCAATATTTTGGTTACTTGTATAGTTAAAATAATCAAAAATAATATTAATCAAAAACCAAAATTTTCTTGAGTTAATTATGTTTGTGAAAATTGGTTTAATCATAATTTTGATTAATTGACTGTTGGAATAAACAAAAAACAGTAGTAATCAGAAACACTATTTTCAATTACATGATTATTTTTATGATAATTGATTTAACTGTAATTTCAATTAATCAACTGTTGGAATAATTCAAAATAGTAATAATCAGAAATATTAATTTTGATTAATTGATTGGTTTACATGAACTAAACGATGTAATCACTGCTCATAAGTAATAATTTAAATTGCCCAGCTCTGTTTACGTCATTACACTGCTACGTACTTACATTTATAATATACTGTACTACACAAAAATAGAGAACTTACTAGTTCTATTCCATCTATAAACGGTGTGTCTTCCCAATCTTTCTCTGGAAACCGTTGAAGAATTTTTCCAAAACTAATACCACTTCCTGCAAGTCAGAAAGTCCAAATAAAATTGTTTACTATAACAAGTTATTATTCCATTAACAGCAGAGATATATAAACAAGAATAAGCTTATATTACACAAGCCTTAATCAATTTTGGTTTCTTTAAAGTAAAAAGCTTTTCTTGTAACTGCTCTTTTTTAGAATAACTGCATGTTGGAACATACATGTTTCATTTTTATATATTTTCAGCTTAAATACTGGTTTATGGCTCCTATTTAGGTTTGCCAACTCTTGAAAACTTTGAAGTAGAGCTTTATGTAAGAGACCATACATAATGGACATCACACAATTTAGTCCACTTTTTGACCATCCCCTTGTTACACTTGGTCACATAGATGGCCTCTAACCAACAGTTGGTAGTAAATTATAAACACATTTTATCTCTAAGTAGGACAGTTAGCAATCCTACTCCTATTCCAAAAAAATAATTCATTTAGCAAATTTATGACCGGCAACATTACTGCAATGTTTCATGTCTAACAGCTTAATCAAGAAATTAGAGAAAGTGAACAAAAAATGGTTTTAGAAAATACATGAAACAAAACTAATGGCTTACATGGATCTAATGTTTTCAATTTTAGTTTACATATTAAAAGTCTGTTTATAATGTATAATGGAATTTGAAATGTTTTCATGGTTCAAGCATACTAAGATGATTAAACACTTGTGTTCTTAGAAATTTTTCATTTGAAACTGGTAAATTTTGGCTTTGATGGAATAGCAAACAACTAACCAGTTAAAATGTAGCCATGGTATAAACTTACGTTGCACAGTGATAAGTCAGAAAGCTTATAATGCTAAAAACTACGTTTGATATCCATGGTGGGCATAGCACAGTTAAACAATTCAAGTCATTCAACTTGTATAAAACATTGTGATTCACTGTCATTGTAAGTACTTTCTAATAGCAACAGTTTCAAAACAGATATATATTACTAACAATTGCTTCAAAAGCTATAAACAGTGAGCACTTCCACCTTAAATTTATAAAGTAAAATATTTAAGTAATACATTAACTAGGCTAAATCCAAGCTTGAGGAATTACACAAATAATGAGGGTATATTGTTCATACACTTATCACAATGAAGATAAAATATATATAGTTTTTATATGTATTTTTCAATATGCATGAATTAGGTATTTTAAAATTCGTAATTCAGACACCCACAAATATCATTATATTTGATTATTTTCATTGTCTGTAACAATTTCATACATCTATGCATAAACAGCTAAGGATATGAAAAATATGTATGTATGCTAAAAAATAATATTATAATTACATAAATATTATTCATTATTTCAGGCAGATACT